AGGTAATTTTTATATTCTTACTTTCCTGAGAAAGAAAATGGGAGTATTCTTCTTGAATAACTTGTTGCTGTGGGACTCCCTAAACTGAAGCTCAATAGGACAAAGGATGAGAATCCCTGGTTTGTTTTTGGGATTTCATATGTTGGAGCTCTTAGTGCGTGGTTTCGTCTTAAGTTCCCTCATTTAACTTGTGGAAGTCTCGCTAGTTCTGCAGTTGTTCTTGCTGTTTATAACTTCAGTGAGTTTGATCAGCAGGTAAATACTAAAGATTAGAGACTATTTTCGTTTCTGCTTGTAAATTGAATAGAATGATGCATTTTCGCGTGCAAATTCTTGCATTTTCAGTTTTTTCTTCCTGTATTTTTCTTTTTTTGTTAAGCATAATCTGAAATAGTTAAAACTTCTGACTAACAGGCAGATTCTTTAAATTTTTGTGCAGATTGGCAAGTCAGCCGGAGCTGAATGTAAATCTGTAATACAAGAAACTAATAAACTTGTTGAACAAAGGCTTGAAGAAAATGGCAAGAAATTGAAAGCATTTTTTGATGCTGCTGAGGTTTACTTTTGTGGTTTTTTTGTTTTTTGTTTTTTTTGTTTTCTTTTCACTGGTTCTTGTGATAGACCTGATAACACAAATAGCAACTTCATGACTATATATGTCTTCACAGCTTGGAGATGCTGATTTTATGTACTTTCTGGCTGACGCAGCAGTTATGGCGGTATGCCTCTTTTCTTTCTAGTTTGTTTTGTAATTCGATTATCTTGCATGGTAATGATCTTTATGTGCTAAATACTTGTAGTTTCAATATGGAAACCCAGACAAACTCTGCAACCCTCTTGTTCAAGCGAAGAATGCAGGAGAGGATTTGGTGGTATGCTCTTGTTACTTATTACCTATTATGCATTTTTCTGAATTTGTTATTGTTGGGAGGAAATAAAAGTTAATAAGTAGAGCACAAACAGGATTAACAATTTTGTGATTTGGTCTACTTGACTTGTCTGCACAGAAATTTCAATTATATTACGAACATTAACAATTACAATGAGATAATATGTAGAAACGCTCCTTAACAACCCCTTTAGTTTCTCTGTGCTTCAGACTTCTCTAACTTCCAAGAAGTTATAGATTCTCGCCCCATTGTGCTCTTATTGATCTCCCTACATGCGGAAGCAAGCTTCTACCTCATTTTTCCGGTACCTAACTCACCCGAATGCCCCTTTCTCAGGATACTCTGCACATTGTTTTTGTACTTCTTTTGCTCCGATGCCTCCCTACTATTTCCAAGTGTCCTACATCCAATTGAGGGCATCTCATCTTCTCTTTCTCTATGTGTAAGTTTACGGACATTTAGTTTTCATCTCCCAGGTACTCACCGCTATTTCTTTTCTCCAATCTAGCTCATTAATTTCTTCCTACCACCCATGGGCTAGGACTTGAAACAGTTATTTGGTTCTTAAATTATTTTTAGGCTTGTCCTTGGTTGTGCGTTCACATATGAATTAGCTGTATTTCATTTGCTTATTTTAAAATACTTTAACTGGCATATGTATAAGTTGAGAAGTTTAAACTGCTCCACCTACCTGAATGTGCATACTGCACCTGATATAACTGATTTAGCCCAGCAGAATCATTTCCTTGTGTTCATCTCATTCTCTCTCCCCCCCCCCCCCCCCGGGGGGCCACCACCTCATCTTTCACTTATGTAAAACATTATTGCTTGTTGACGTTTAGATTATTTATGTCCCTTAACCAGCAATAGGAAGGCAGAATAATATTTTCGCAAAAAAGAAAAAAAAAAAAAAAAGAGAAACAGAAGAACAAGAAGTATCTCTTACTAATTCCTTAAATATGTTTCTGTTGCTGTTGGATATCCTTGTGACCTTATCTTCCATTGGTGAACTCTGTGTATCATGTTCTCATGGGGAAAAATGCAGGAAGCTTATGCCAAATACGTTAAAGAGGTTGGCCTCAGCGTTGCAATTTATAATCAGGCCCATCTGAAGAATACTGCTCTAACCAATGACAGTGATATGCGGTTATGGTGGTTTCAAGTTTGTACTGAAGTGGCATACTTTCAGGTGGCACCTTCAAATGATAGCATGCGCTCTTCAAAAATTGACACAAGGCATGTGTTTAACGACAAAATTGTGTAGAATGCTAATATAATTTTATATCATATGTTCTGCTGTCTATACTTTTATCATGTTATTAAGTGCCAAAACTTTAGTATTTGATTTTACATGTTATTTTCTTCATGTTTAACCATAAAATTATAATGTATATGGCAGATATCACTTGGATGTTTGCAAGAACCTTTTTGGTGATGGCATCTATCCTGATGTCGATGCAACAAATATATACTATGGAGGCACAAAAATTGCAGGTCCAGATACATCTTTCTTGTTTCTCCTTCTTTCGTTGTTTGAATAGTTTCAAATTATTTATTTGCGTGTGTTTGTCTGTGTAATCCACATAATCAAACAGCATCTGCTCTTTGTAGAACTGATGATCTTTCCTTTGGCAATTTCTTTTTCCTTCTCTTTTCTGATAGGGAGGAAAGTGGGAAGGCTTGTGATAAATTTTTTTTTTTCAAATGATGGCTAATTGAATGCTCCTAATAACAAGAGATGGGTTTCATTTTTATTCATCCAACATTGCCAAATTCCTCCATGGTTTATTTGGTCTAATGGATATGTGGATTTGCAGGTTCAAAAATTGTTTTTGCAAATGGGTCACAGGATCCATGGCGTCATGCATCCAAACAGACCTCATCTCCTGATAGTAAGTTTCTGTTACTACTACTATGAAAATGCTCTCAAGAAGAAAGGAGGAAAAAGGAAGTGACTACTTTGACCGAAATGTCATCTTTTTCTCCAATTAACTGCTTTTATAGTATAGTATGCTGCAATGAAGAGTAAATCTATTTGGTTGTGGTTCATTTTTCATTGATTTCAATTGTTGAATCCAGATTAAGCAGTAGCAGAGAAGTTTTAAGCAGTTATATATATTAAATTTGCATTTTAAGGTAGCATTTGCTGCGAATATAGTACAGAACAAGACAGTCCAAGATTGGACAAAACAATTCATTCGCTCCTATATAATTTTCTAGTCTTAATCCTATGTTTAATGTTTGTTTAGATCAAATTTAGTATTTGTTATGATTATTACCATAAACCTGATCAAACCATTGCTCATTGGCCCTTCACAGATAACTCATCAACCTCAATGCGAAATTGTCATCAATTTGTTATTCTATTAGGGGTAGATGAATAATGTTCGGATCTGAGAGAAAAAGTTTCACATTTCAAAAACTTTCTTTTCCCTGTTTTTCCTCCATTGACTAATGTAAATTTTCAGTGCCTTCCTATATCATCTCTTGCCACAATTGTGGCCATGGAACTGATTTGCGAGGATGCCCACAGTCTCCATTAGTTCCTGAAGGTATGTATTTTCTGCACTGGGCTATACACAGCTAAAACAATCTAAAGTTTCTTAAGAATACTCATATCATTGGAAAAGTTAGACTTAATATGTACAAGAAATGGCGTTGTTTTTACTAATGTCTGAATTAGTATGCATTTTTTTTTTTTATTTTAGGTGATGCCAAAAACTGCAGTTCCCCTGATACTGTGAACAAAGTAAGGCAACAGATCGTAGAACACATAGATTTGTGGTTGTCTCAGTGCCGAGGGCTGGGTAGGAGCTCCATGTAAATGCAATATATGTTACGAGAGAAATATATAAAGTGTGTAACTAACATATTATGCAATGTATTATCTTGACAGATGCTTAGCTGCACGTATGTGAAAATGATGTTACGATTATTACTTACCTTCATGTCCACAGAGGCCAAAACGGCAAATGCCTATAAAGTCCGTTATCTATTGGTGGCATGTGCAGTTTTCTGCTTCTGCAGGGATAATCTAACTGGGAAACTGTTTTAAGTGACTGGAAATTGATCTCTTGCAAAATTTTCTCCCTATGCATGAGCACGCCTAGCAAGGTTTTTACTGAGAACTTTTTCTGTTAACGTTTTCTGTTCTTTCAGTATCACTAGTTCTTGGTTGGAAGTATATTCATATCTGCATTGACCTGGAATTTTTGAGTTTGGATCAGGCCTTCTTTTTTCTGTGCTATTAGGGAATTTGGGGTTATTATGATTTCAGTTTTTGTTTTTTTCTTTTTTAATTTTATGTTTTGTGGCTATTTATATAGTAATTACATAACTTAACAATCAAATTAATGCTAGACAATGGCAGCTGACTATTGTAACTATAAAATGTTATAAGATATATAGAAATTAATTGTTCTGTTGATGTTACTAGCTTATCTTAGAGATAACAAATGATGCTGATTTTGTAAAATTTAAATATGATGTCTTTGAATTTATAAAATTCTAATCTGGCCTGAATTTGGAGACCTGACCTTGTTTGAATTTGGGGTGGATTAGGATGGATTTACAGTTCCCTTGAAATCTTCTCTCCTAATCTGAATATATCAAGATTCAGTCCGAATACTCGCCATGAACACCAGAGTCTGCCATATTCATTCCTTCAAATTGATAGATTGAAGTATTTAAAGCAGAAACATGAGAATGTGTTTGCTAAAAGTACAAATTTATGACAAAAACAGTTTACAACTCTTAACAAGCCAAAGAAAAGACTACTAAGATACTGATCTCACTGCATCCGCTGCCATTACCACCATCATTCTTAGTAGATATAAACTTAGCTAGAAACATCTTAGTAAACGTAGCCCTTAACGAACATTCCTTTCTTTGCCTCCTCTGATTCTCCCTCCCCAGTGTATTTTCCAAGCTGAGCAAGCGAGTTAGCCTTTGCTCGGACAAGCAAAGAATCCTGAGCTGCTTTCACGTTCTCCGGTCTGCCTCCCCATGTCTTCAGGCAAGTGTTTTGAAGAGCTCTTGCGTAGGAGAATGACACATGCCATGGGTTAGGACTTTGGTTCATCGCGTTCAAGTTCAAGGTAGCTTCAACTTCAGATTGCCCACCAGACAAGAACTGTAAACATCAAAGAGAATTTGCTTGTTAAAAAGCCGAGTTTAATGCATTGTGCTGTGATAAATTTATATGATCTTTGACAGGAGACTTACCATAATTCCAGGAACAGCTGGGGGAATCCTTCGGCTAAGGAGCTTGAGGGTGTAGTCAGCAACCTGTTCTGGTGTGGCCCTGTCCTTGCACTCCGCACCAGGAGTAACCATGCTGGGCTTGAGAAGGATACCTTCAAACATAACATTGTTCTCGGCCAAGTAAAAGAAAACCTCTGCCCACACCTTCTGAGCCACTTCAAAGGTCCTATCAATTCCATGGTCACCATCAAGCAAGATCTCTGGCTCCACAATTGGGACCAACCCATTGTCCTACACCAAATACTCAATGGGTAAATCTCAATTCAATTTTTTTTTTTTTTACTAAGTTGAGTAAAAAAATTCTGGGTAATTTTATTTTCTCTTCACATAATCATTTTACCTGAGAAATGGCGGCATAACGGGCAAGTCCCCAGGCTGCTTCCTTGACAGCAAGTGCAGATGGGCCATTCGGAATGCTCACCACTGTACGCCTATTTCATCACGCAATAAAATACAAATTATTTAACTTTCTTAAACTTGTTTTGCAACTAAATCCATCAATCTATTTGTTAACACCATAGTGTTTTTTTTTTTTTTCCAAAATCAACTTTATTTTAACTCTACAAAACCAAACTAAGCAGATTGGATAGAGTTTAACAAAATGAAGATAGTTCTCATCTTATACCATTTCGCAAAGCGAGCTCCTTGTTGGTAGTAAGCAGCAGAGCGGGAAGCAAGGCCATCAAGACCTTGACACCATGACTCATTGTTGGAGCCAGCCAAGGGAACCAGACCCTGCAATAACCATTATCCGGATCCTAGTTATTATAGACATGTACTATTTTATACATATATGTGATATATGTGTATGCGTGTGTGTTTGTGTTTGTGTTTGTGTTTGTGTATATATACAAAATGGATAGATAGATAAGAAAGAGAACATGCATACATATAATGGAAAAAGTAGAAGAATGAAGTGATTACCTTGTCAACTTTAATACCAGGGACAATATTCTGCTCAACAAGAACATCAACCATCTTCTTGCCCTCTGTGGTGGACTGGTAAAGTGTCTCCTCAAAGAGGATGGCACCCGAGATGTACTGGCCGAGCCCTGGGGCTGAAACCAGCAGTGTCCTGTAGGCCTGGCGGTTAGCCTCGGTGTTCTCTAGCCCGATTGAGGCTAGACGTTTCCCACATGTCGCATTTGACTCGTCCATAGCCAAAATCCCACGCCCAGGAGAAGCAATAGTTTTCTACACCCACCCACCACAATTACATCTCAGATATATACATATACATATACATATACATATATGGTACGAGAAACTCAGCTAATATCACCACTTAATTGATCAATTCTATTTACCATCTGCAATGTCTTCTCCAACACAAACATTCTTGAAATTCAAAGTACTATAATCTTTATCATCTTAAACACAACAGTCTGTAATATAAAGAAAGAAGCAAGTCTGTAGGAGTATAAATATGCATTTTTAAAAAATTAATATTGGACAAAAGAATAGATGAGTAAATAATAGATAAGAGGACAAGATTCTCAAGTTTGAACTCTAATTGTTCCTCTGATTTCATGTGAATAACATAATTGAACTGGGTTATCTAATACTTGAAGTTGATAAAAAAAAAAAAAAAAGTCCAATATATATATTTTCTTATCATACTCTCCAATGCAACCCAATTAGCTAGACAAATAAACTTATAGAGACAAAGACATACCGCGGTCTTGACAAGCTCATCAGCATAGGAACTGGCTCGGACCAAGAGTGAAGATGGTGCAACCGGTTGGCACCGGACGACAGAGACCGAGGGTTGGCGAAGTGTCTGACCCTTAATCCATTCGGACTTGTCAAGAACTGGAGAAGACTTGAGGAAAGAAGCAGAGGCCATGTTGTGGCTTTCTAAGTTATTGGTTTAGATAGCTTGCTAGTTTTAGCTGCCTTGCTCTCTCCTTAAAGCTCTGACTGTGCTTTCTCCAATGCAGGCAAACAACTAGCTCTCGTCCTCTCTTATTTATAAATTTAAAATTTTATCTTCAGAGATATCTCATGTGAGGCTAGAATACATTTGGGCAATGAGTGATTTTAATGAAGGGTTGATAATTTGCTTGCTTGGCAGAACTATGCTGTGGTGGGCAACACCCTATGGAATTGTGGGAATTATTTTTTCTGCCCTGAAATTTAAAAAAAAAAAAAAATTATGGTTGAATTTCTTCAAATTTGTAAAACCAGAATAATTTGGGTTATTAATAATCGCTAAAAAAAGATAAAAAAGAAAAGGGTTTTTATCATTTGGTTGTTGATTGGTGACTTGTCATATTGGAATACATGGCAGGTTTTGATTTTTTCTCCAGTTTTGTCCTTTCTGTTTGTACAAAATATATATATAGAAAAAAAACTAATAGAGATGAGTTAGTCCAAATATATGAAGCACTTTTATTATTATTATTATTATTTTATTAACCATTTGTAAAAAATCGAATTCAAATTGTTAAAAAATATATTCTATTCTGGTAAACCCATTTCCTATAAACATTTAGTTTTATTGAATAAAGATTGAACGATTATATTCCATTCATTATCAAATTTCTCACGTCTATGATGGAATTCTTTAGTATAAAAAAACTAAACTTCAATATAAAAGTTAATTGTATTGTTTCCTCGCATTCAAGAATCACAAAGATTCCATATTGCAATCTGCAAATAGCATGCAAAGGTATAATAGAGAAAGACTAATTGTTGTGCACAAATCACAAGTTGCAAATAATATGGACATAGCTACAATCTTTACAAAAAAACTTTTACATTACAATCAAAAGTCTATTTCATGGCCTAAAACAGAAGTTGGGAATCCGTGTACGCTTCAGAGGTCACTAGAAGCTCAGTTCATAGCCAACAGAAAATTGTGATGCATAGGACATACAGAGGGTCCATAGTGCAAAAGATCTACCAGTTACTGTCTAAAATTGCAAAATAAATACATAAAAGCAATAAAATTGTGGAGCAAAGTGCATATAGAAGCCTTCACCATCAATGACATCACAGTAATTGCGGGCAGGGTCTACTCAATGAAGGTCCTTAAGCTTAATTCAAGATTTGGAATAATTACACCCTCGGCCCACTCAAGACAGTAGGACGATTGGCGAGAACATATAGCTTGGCTAAAATGAAGCTCTTTAGTAAAAACTTAATGACCAGAGTTTGAATTCTACTTCCGTATCGCCTCAAAAGAAATGGTAGGACTATCAAAGCGCAGGCAAATTAGATGTGAACATACGTACTCATGGAGCAAAGAACCATATTGCGCAATGCGTATTCTTTACCTTCATGTAGTTTTACACCCTATCTCCAAAGAAAATACAACAATTTCATAAACACTTTCTCCCAAAACTGGGACCACGAACCTAACTGTTAACAAATGATTGCAAGTATCGATTCTGTATTCTCTTTCAAGTTCCATGGGGACATACTCCTAGCACAACAGGAACTGAACCTACTCTCTTGCCTTCACCTATGCCTTAGAAATATGGCAAAATTCAATGCATGACTTATAATCCGGGAACCACTAGCAAAGAAGCTCTTGACCTGTCCACTTCGACAAAACAGGAATCTAGCAATGAAAGAAAACTGGATCTCTTAATGCCTACCTAAGATAGGTAGATGAAATCCAAAGTAGCACGTAAGATAATAGTGAAGACATCACTTCGAAACTCCTTGGCCCTTTAAGAAAAGGTGGAATCACAGATACCATCAAGAAGGTTCCAAATAGCCAGGAGAAAATAAAAGATCCAGCCCTGCACCAAATAGCAGAATTAGTAATGCTAAATCATTTATTGCTGCACCAGTTAAGGAATGCATTTACAATTCGGAAATAGAAAGAGCTTCCATTCAGCTCCATAACAGCTTGCATTGATGCATGTCTCAGGAAGTTCTACTGAGGAATTTCACAAGGCACCTCCAATAAAAAGAAATCACAGAAAACATATGATCTTCCATACTCAGTATACGGTAAATTTAGTGGAATAGCTATAAGCACATACCCATAAAGAAAAGCTCGGATTTTGCTCTTCAGCCGATCATGTATGAAGTACATTGTGGCTATCAATGATATGGCTACTTGCAAGGTTGGGCCTTCTTCAGTTGGAAAGACAACAGTGAGAACTCCAAGTACCAAAAATGCAGCAAATGTTTTGATAATGAACTTTGTTGATGGTGTCTGGAATCTGCTAACAACAGCCTGCACAACACGAGACTGCCTGACCTCCCTAACCTTTTTCTTGATGTCAATTTTTGGATTTTTCCTCTCATAGAATTTCTGCATGATAATTTTGTCATGGGCTGATTCAATTGCATCCACACTAGCTGGTGCCCAGAATATTTCTGAATGAGAAAGTTTCTTGCTGCTTGTATTTCCTCTTCAGAAGCCTCCCTGCTTATCCCAGTCGCTTGTATGGGTCCCTACATAGTCTGGGAGATAGTGACCTGCAGACATGGTAAACAAGGAATTCAAAGACATGCCCATGCTTCAAA